GGCTATGGGTGGGTTTAAAATTGAATTTCATGCAAAAAATTTTTTTTTTACTTTTTTTAGCGATCAGAAAAGATTCCGGTACGGCGGAGGGTGGCGATTCAATCTGGATTGTCTTCTCCGGCGAGGGGTTCTGGCGGCTAGGGTTAGGGTTTGTGTGCGGATGGAGTTATTTATATCATTCCGTTTTTTATCTGAGTCGTCCATCGCTTTTGATCTGTACCGTCCGATAGCGATAAAATAGGAAGTGAATCTGAACCGTTCATCGCGATTCAATCTGGGCCGTCCGTGCGAGATTCAATATGGATCATCCGTGCGCGCGGGAACGGACCTCAGTCATTCGATCTCGCGCACGTGGATCGCCCACGTGGCTCCCCCCCGTGTGGCCTCCCGTGTTAGCGTCTCTGCCACTTGGCGCGTCCTGGTTGGTCGGTGCTGCTGATCGGGCGTCTGACGTGGCATAATTTTTTCAAATTGTATTTTAACCCCGGTTTTTCGATTTTTCTTTCAAAAATACATTTAGAATCCAAATTTTCACCAATTTTTCTCAAAATTATTTTTAATTTAATCCTTAATAATTTTTTATCCATTTTTTTCATTAAATTAAAAAAATAAAAATAAAAATAATATTGGGTGTTACATGGAAGAAGTTGAAGTAAAAGGTACTGTAAGGCATAAATTTGTTACTAGATATAATCGACGTATATAATGTTAAGTGATTGAACCATTTTGGACTTGGGAAAAGTTGAGCAATTCCTTACCCATGAGGTTCTCCTCCCTCCATGTTATGTACAAACTCATCTATGAAATGACCATTCTTGTCCCTCTCTCCAACAAAAAATTTCCTCATTTTCTTTGTTTTTATTCTAAACAACTTACTGAGTCATCCACCGTTATTAACCACAACGACCCCGCCAATATCGCAGTCGTAAATGATTCATATTTCTTATTTCTTGGACTCTCCATTTCAAGTTTCTTTCATTTGAAAAGTCCAGCGTAAAAACTTTGATTATTCAACACGAGAAACATAATCAGGGCAAGCCCAAGTATGAGCCCCTCAATCACCAATTTCCAATCGCAATGAGTCAAAAACCCCTTAACTGAAACTCCATCACGAAATGTCTCTAAATTCAAAATTTGTAGTAACTAGAGAGTAACATTAAAAAAAAAATTATATTTAGTTTGATAATTAGTACTTGTTATTCGCTATAAAAAATTATGGGCTCAAGTCATATTGTATGTTATTAAGTATCCCATTGTATTAGATTAACGTGAATGTATTACGTGATACACGTATTTGTATTAAAAATATTAAAGAAACTTGATGAAAACTACGAAGATTTGGGAGGACATGGTGCTTCATAGGCCATAAAATATCGGAGAGAGCCAACTGGGCCATATATTACGTATTTGGTTTGGTTTGGGTTGGATCTGTACCATTAACGGAATGTTTCTGGCCCACCCACCCTGGGAGAGAGCTTTTTGTTGAAGAACGTATGGTAAATACGGCTTCCTCTGGTAGGGTCAATTGCCCAAGGAGTCTATATTTGTTACAGAAAAACATAAAGGGGCAATTTTGTAATTGTAGCATCATCCGGGGTCAATATCCATGACCTCATTACCGTTCTCTTCATGAGTTGTCCTTCACTCTCTGGTTGTCTCTCTAAGGACTTCCAGGCGCAGCCCAACACATTCATCTACGGACGCAGAGCCCTCTTTCTAACGCCCTTCTCTCTATCGTGCGCGGATTGAGAATCACTCTTCTCTCTTTCTCTCTCTCTCTCTCTCTCTCTCTCTCTCTGACTCGTCCTCAGTCTGTTAAAGCCTCTCTCTGTCTCTCACTCTATTCACTGGTTAGGTTTAGGGTTTTCGGTTTTCAGAAGAGAGACTCTTATATCTCGGTAATGCTTCAGAATCAATTGAATCATCTGCCTCGAAACCCTCAATGTACGGCGGCTCCCAGCATATGAACATCTCTAATCAGATCTCCTCCGCTGGTGAGGACGACGCTTCCGCCTCTGCCGCCAGGGAATCCATCGACGCTGGTGCCCACTCCAGTCACATTGCCTACGAGCATCATGCCCTTGAGGCCATTGAGGACGTGGCACCTGAACCCCTCTATGTTCACGGTGCTGCCGAGGGATCGGAGATAGTTAGCCGTCGAGTCGAGGGGTCCAGTCAGCTAACCCTATCATTTCGCGGCCAGGTCTACGTGTTTGATGCTGTGACTCCCGATAAGGTGCAGTAAGTGAATTTCGTTTTGCCTTTTTGGTTTTGTTGGAAGAATGTGGATAGTAAGGCATATGGATTTTGAAACTATTATTTTTTTTTGTGATATAAGTTTGGAAGAAGCAAAATCAGTTGTGGCTTCTGACAGCCTTACTTTCGTTCTTAACAATATCATTGACATGCAAATCAGAATTTCATTAAAGTTTCAGTTTTTTACCTACCTTTTTGAATCGCCTAATTCGAAATTTAGGGTGCTGCATATATGCATTTTAAGGATTTAACTAAAAGTTTAGATCACACTCACGCAGGTTGAAGCGGTGTTGTTACTGTTGGGTGGCTGTGGCGATATATCTACAGGATCACAGGGCATGGAGGTGACACAGCAGAACCAGAGGGTATTATCTTATATTAACAATGTAACTTATATTTACTTCTGTAAGTTCTTTTGGCCGAGATTTTCTGATTGCTTGCAATATTTCCCTCTTTTCTAGGCTGTTGTAGACTTTCCTGGACGCTGTAGTCAGCCTCAGAGAGCAGCTTCATTAAGCAGGTTCCGGCAAAAGAGAAAAGAGCGATGCTTTGACAAAAAAGTCAGATACAGTGTCCGGCAGGAAGTTGCCCTCAGGTAAGGTGATTTATTCCAGTTGGTATATCTTTTGAATCTTGTTACTTTCATGAACAAAAGTTGTTCCTTTTTGTGGAACTTAAATTGTTAATTAATAGGAATGAAGAAGTTAATTTAGCAGCATCGCTTGCAAGCTTGTTCTTGCATTATCAAGAGAGGGTGTTGGCCTTTTATTGTCCTTGAGAAATACTTCATTTGGTCAGAGTAGTTTTTTGGTACATTATTGACATATATTGACATAATGAAGCTAACTGGGCACCACGTTGGTTCAAGCAGTGATAACCGTTTGAAATGCTTGTGTTAGAATAAAGTTTATTGAGCATTCATTTTGGTCCAACATGTACCTTTTCATTTTCTTTTTTGTTTGTGATGTTATATGTGCTGTCAGCTGCATTATAAGGGGTCATGGAGCAGTTTCTTCATAATTGTAGACAATTTGTGTACCTGCAGAAAAAAAGATCCTAACATCATGAGACACGGATCTGTACCTTACGAAAAGCAAGATTGAATACAATATTAATTTTAACACCCACAT